ACTATACTAGGTATTTACTATAGTTAGTCTGTACTTACTTTTCTATAAATGTCGTAATCTTAAACCATACAGGGTGTTCAAAATTCTGTACCAAGCTGTTTAAAATATAAAATAGCATTCCTTGGTTTTTTTTAATGGAACATCTTGTATTTTTATTTTTTAAATGATTTCAAAATTTTTAACGATTTTGCGTATATTCGTAATATTATATTACATATGGTGTATTCAACAGTAATTTTTTATCAAAGGCACTTAATGATTTTTGTCTGGCATTTTACCGTTTTTAGGTCTGCACTTAAACTACAGATGCCCGACTTACTATTGCCGGATCCTCCCTGGAAAACGAGTTTAAATATTGTCAAAAAATTATGTTATTTAATTTATGGTTTGTTTTGACCCTAGTGAGAACAGCCCATTTTAAAAATTTGATGATTGATGATATTGCCAATCAAAGGGCAAATCCAGAATATCCAATTATTCCAATAATTGTTAGTATAGCACCGTATTAATGTTTTAAACAAAATTTAAAACACTATCCATTTAATTATTTATACATCGGTTTAAAGCAAATAAAGCCTCTCTTTGAACACAAAGACACGTATAGAGCACGAGTTGGATCTTAATCTAAAATTTTCATTGCGTTAATTTTCTTCGAATAATACAGATGTCGCGACAAAGCCGACGTTAACGAACACAGATAAGAACGACAATTGTATTGTTAATACGACTATGTGTTACGGTATTAAGCTGCTGGTGTCGCACACTATGCCAGACCGTGTTAAACGCTGACAAAATAATGTAATGCGAGGAGATGGCGTTGTTTTGGAAACTCGACGATGCAGTGTACAACCTACGCCCTTATACTCGTATATTCGACGCTGAATGGAATAGAGAATTACAATTACTTAGTTTGTGGTAAAAGTTTACTACCTCAACTGTCTAGACACAAATGTTGTTCATAAATATTACCAGGATTCGGAAATTTGAGTAGAAAGCGTGTTTCAAACATGTGCCATCTCTCGTGGGGAGATTCCTCACGTAAAAATAAAATTTACCTTTTATATCAACATAGGTCCGATTCCCGGGTTAGTTGAGGTACCTTACCGACTAAAAAAACTTCCACAAACCGCTTTGAGTATCTCCTCGAGGATACCTATCGGCATTACTTCTCGAGGAAGCGGTTTTACAGTGATGTTTTCGTTACTTCGTCTAGCTTCTTTCTCTTTGATATCTATTAGTGGCTCCATAAAAGTGTGAACACAATTCCATTTTTCTGGGGATCGAATCATCTCTGGATCGCAAATCTTAATTTTATCGATTGTTAGTTCTTTGTTTAGCACTATTCGTTCAACTGTCCATCGGTTACATTCTAAATGAGTATGCTCCACCGTATCAGCATTGAAGTCGACATAGAGACATCTCGGGCTATCAATTAACTCTATTTTATATAGATAATACCTGACAGGGTTGCGTCTTGTCTCCGCTCTGTTTAAGCTGTACTCGGAGACTATATTTAGAGAAGCAAGCACTGGATCGAATCCAGGGCGGAATCAAGTTTAATGGAATCCCAATAAACAATATCAGATATGCCGATGATATGGTTATAATAGATAGTCAACGATATACAAGAACTACAAAGCATCATAGATTCCGTTGTCCACTATAGTGAGGTGTTTGAACTGCATCTCAATGTCTCCAAAACCAAACTATTGGTCTTTTTTAAGACTCCAATAAATGCACACCTGCGTGCTAACGGATAAACAATCGAACAAGTGACCTCAATAAAGTATTTAGGAGCTAACATCAATAGTCAGTGTGACCCGACAAGAGAAATATTCTCAAGAATTGAGCAAGCGAGAAAAATCTTCGTGAGTATGAAATCATTTTTTACAAGACGAGACCTCAGTGCGGAACTCAGAACTCGAATGGCCAGATGCTACGTTTTCTCTGTGTTACTCTAAGGATGTGAGAGCTGGTCACTGGATTCACAGACCGAAAAGAGAATAGAAATGAATGTGTACAGACGGATGTTGCGAATCTCATGGGTACAATGGGTATTTCGATTTGCTAATAACTAAAGTCGAATGATTCAAGTAAATGATACAGGGGTCAAATTACCTTAAGAATTCTACAACGATTCCTTAATTTAGTCATATCCTTTTGAGCAAATGTTAGCAATTGGTTCTATTTCTTAAGAAAAAAGCCTTAGCTAGCAGCAATTTCTGCAATTTAAAGTAACTGCTGAAAGCAAAAGCAATTATATAAGATTTTATTGAATTAGTTTCAAGCATTTATATCGATTTTAAAAGAAAAAGAGATATTGCGAGATTTTCATTAATTAGGGTCAATATTGTGAATTTTTCCTTCATGTTCTTTTAATATTTATATGACATTTATTGGAGTCCAACTCGATTTCAAAAAATGCTTTTAATGAAATTAGTTTATTGAGAAAAACATTTTAAAACACACCTCGGTTTTAACAAGCTTCGCGTGGTCTGTATGTATTTTCTGGCTTGCATTAAATTCACTAAACTACAGGTTTTCATGTTTATGAAGTCTCGTGCGTTAAGCTTAATTATTATCCATTATGCTGTTTACTGTTCTGAACGTTGACGCGGTTGTTATATGTGAATTTAACCACCAGTCAATGCATTCCCCGAATGTTTCAGATAAAAATTAAACCTAGATAAAACAACTGCCAATGCCCTAGAAGTCTACTTCTTAATGTATTTTATTATACTGTTTGATATAATGCATGTGGTCCTTTTACAAGGACCGTCATGTACAAGATGACCTTTTGAAATTATTTCATCTATAACATTGAATCAATGAGATCAGATTGGAAGTAGGGTTTCCAAACGGGGATTCCACTGTATGTTTATCCCCGAAATCCCGATATTAAATCACGGGATCCTAAAAATCTCGAAAAATTTGATTGCTCAATCTAAACTGATTCTACTTTATAGACTTAGTCTTTCAAAGATCATATTTTATTTATATTAATAGTACAGGATCCGATCATATTTTTAATCAAAATCCAATTTTTATGTTATGTATAAATATAGGGTAATATAATTTAACACAGTGCCAATCATAAAGTTGCCGAAGCTATATATATGTTTAATTAATAATAATAATAACTGATTTTTAAGACGACATTACGTTGAAAATTTTTTTGGATCATTTATATGCCAAATTAAAGCTATTTTTAATCTCTGCATCATGTTATAAGGGTGCCTATAAAAAAGTTGCCGCAAATAGGGGTTGCCACGTTTCAAAGTCGTTCCTAATACTTTATACGAGCCCGGCAACAGTGCGTCGGTTATCTGTAGCTCCTATAATAAAAAAAACTTAGGAATTTTGTATAGGTGCCAACCTAAAGTATGTGTTTCAGAAAAATATTTTAACTTCTACAGTGTTGTTTGAAAAATACCAATCTTATTTCGTATCTTTTTTTGCAGTGGCGAAAAACCTATGCAGACTTTTTTTTTTGAAATAACTAATAGGTTAGATACAGATACATTATAATTTCTATAATTGAAACAATAAATCCTTCTGCGTAATTGAAACGGAGTTGGAGATATTCCAATGTTAGTCCTGTTCGCACTATCTAAATTACTAAATAGCATGGGGAATATTTATAGTTCCAGAATGGTCGAATGTAGAATGGTATAGGAGGGGGGTTAATTACCGTGACCTTACATGTCTATTTTGTCTCTCTTCTTGCGTTATAACTCATCACAGTCTTAGGGCTTTGACAAAAGCCAATATGTGAGACAGTTTTAAAGAGGTTAGTTCTCCATCGCCAATATTAGTCGCACCAAATTTCATCGCACGAATAGTTGTTGTCTCGATGCACTCGGTGATGAGGTGCTTTGATGATTCCAGAGAATCTGCATTCGCCGTTTTTTCTTACCTTCAATCTACTGAGTTGTTTGTTGAGGACAGTTGTCCTGTTCAAAACCCCGTGACAATACTACGATTGTTCTTACTTAAATAAAGGAACATCTTTAATTTTTTCCGGTCGTAAATTCTTAAGCTTTCTTTGGAGTGCCTTAGACTGTTGGAGCATTCTCATTCCAGGTTACGGATGGAGTCTTCCAGGTTCTTGAGTTCCGCTTTAAGTTGGTTCCCATTTGGCAAACAGAACAGTTCTGGTTCAGTTAGTGTTGGTGTATTTTCTCCTTTTCTAGCTAGATCGTTTGCTTTTCATTGCCTTTTATCCCTCAGTGGGCTGGCACCCAGAGTAGGAGGGCTTTATTATCTTGGACCAATTTGTTCAGCTTCTCTAGGCATTCTTTGACATAGCCGTGACCAGGCTTTTTAATAGGGGGGGGGGGGCAAAATTAAAGATTACGAACTGGAAAAAAAAATAACATCGCAGACGATTTTTTTTTATACGAGCCTGTACAAAGTAATATTTTCCTTTATATAGCTAAAATATATAGCTTTATCCGCATTTTATAGCTAAAATAATTTATATTAAAGCTTTTCCAACGGTTTTTTTTGTGGGTTTTCATTTGAGGTGTTTTTTTTATTTATTATTTATGCTGATTAGGGGGGGCATGGTCCCGAAGCCCCCCCCCCCCCGTGGGCGCGCCTATGTTCTTTGACCAACTTCGAATTGATGGTTAATAAATTGATCGCTTTTATTACTGCTTGACTATCGGATTAGATTTTATAATTCTAATGTAGTAAATATTAAAAATATCTTTATTACCCATACCGGCAAAAAATATTTAAGTGTATTAACTCATTCTCAATTAACATTTGCTTAAAGAAGATAGTCTTCGATATTACATTTCTGAGCATTTTATTTAACATCTATATTTTTAGTGAAGTAAATTACTTGTAATATTTGTGCATAGGGAGTAAAATTCAGGAGGATCGTCAAACATATCGTTGACCTTTCCTTCACTAAATCTACCTACGAATTTTCATCTTGTTACACGGTGAAGGGTATAAAATGGTCTAATATTGCAAATACGTTATTGTGTTACCTGTTGTTGTTTGGTGGACGTCTTGGTGGCGTTCCTGCCCGTTTTAAAGTGGAGGCGGCGCAGAGCCGAGGCGGCAGTAGCGATGAGATCGTCGGGGGGTCTGGGGGACTTGGGGAGGCCCGACTGCGAATTGACGGTCATCTTGGAGCGCGGGCTGGAGGAGCGATGGTGGTTGGAGGAGGAGGAGGAGGTTAAAGGGGGAGTGCTACCGCCGACGAGGCCTTCGTCGTCGACCTGCAAAATAAAACAAAAATGTTAAGTAAACCGTATTTAAATTAGGAAAATAGTTTTTAATCTCCCCTTTTTATAATAGGTCGCTCAAATATCATCTATTAAAGGGATTAGGTACTTGGAAAAAAGTGTTGGACGTTATTATCCACTTTGCTGAAAAATGCATTACAGTGACTTTCAATCCTCCTTAACATGGAAAACAATATTATAAATAAAAAAACAACGGAAGTAACAAAGTATCAAACTGTGGGTTTAACACGTATGTTAATTTTTAATTTTGAGATGTAAATGCCGAGAAAATGAAAAGATTCCTAAACTTGCCATATGCTCTTCAAATCAATGGTCAACGAAATTGGATATTGCCTCCACACTAATCATTAGTTTCAGAATTTTGTTATCTATAGGTAAGGAAATCGGTATTCTGTCCTCGTATTATCTTTACCTCTTATTATAACAAGAAAAAAAAAACAAGATTATCGGTAAAAAAATGCCAAAATACTTTTTAATCTCTCTTTTTTTAGAATGGCACTGAAAAAGTTAAATTTGATGACTGCCTAATTGAGTAATTTACCTAGAAGGCAAAAGACCTAAAGGAAACAATAGAACGTAAATTAGTTTTTGTTTCGTACTCTTATTTTTGTTTTTCTGACTTCAGTTCTCGCTATCCCAATCTTTCAACGAAAATTGCGTTAGCCGTTGACTGAAACAGCCTGAAAGGGACACAAAGTCGTTTATATTTCGTGAAAATTAAGGATTTCAGGTGTGAAAAGCGCATAATTTAGCTCCTCGCCTACAACAAATTAAGTTAGGTTGCTTTTCACAGAACAAAAAAGCTCATTTTGATAAGGGTCAGGCTATATTGCGAGCTTTTTTAGAAAATGTTACAGTACCAACTAAAATCTGAATATTCATTAAATCGTGTTGATAAAATTAATAACTGTATTAATACAATGCACAATTAGACAAAAATGCCAATTTTCATAATTTTCCATATTATATTGAAAGAATATTCAGAAAATGATATACTGAAATTGATAAATTAATCTGTTATTATTAGTGATGGGTTGTTATTTAACTATCTGTTATTTTATAACAATTATTTATAAATAACATAACGCAACCGTTACTACTTCTAAAAAAAATTCACAGTCCTTTACAAAGATGCAACCGGGAGGGCATTGAAAATGATGAATAAAAACGTAAAATTATGATTAGTGTTAATATGAGTGAATTACATACATATGTTTAAATAACGAACTTAACAAAAAACAACAGATTTAAAGATTCACTGAAAAAGTAGTAATGTTAACATTAAATAAAACATTATCAATAATAATTATGCGATCGCACCTATCCGTAAAACAAACAAGCAAAAAAACAAAATAACATACAAAACATCAGGTTAACATGATGACAGATCATGATCGATGACAGATAAAGAATTCTTACGGAAAGTTACACTTTACGATATAATTTTTAACTGTTAAAGGCAAACCCCATTTAAACACAAAACTTTTTAATACCTACTACTGTATCTAAAAGATATTTTTTTTAAATTACTAAATTCTTAGCCACGCTTCTGTTTTTCTTGGCTGTTGTGCGTCACGTCACAGATTAACATGCCCACGTTTGCACCACAAGGCGATGCTGCAGACCACTAGGTAGACAACTTATGTTTTACAACTTGTAGTCAATCTACACTATCTAGCTTTTTTTCTTTTAAAATGTGTTCAGATTTTGTAAAAAGTATAAGTCAAAATCGCAAATCTTAAATTTGATATGAGTTTCTTAGTTTTTAACTAATATAGTGGCGAATTACAAAAATTCCTTTTCAATGAAAATTAATGAGTTAAATAAAATAATTTAATAAATTACTAGCTTTTTCCCGCGACTACGTTCGCGTTACACCTCAAATCGTTCATGCATTGATTTAAATGATTTTTTACTTCTTTATAGAGAGCTAGTGAGCATAGATGTTTTTTATTTTTCATCTTTTTTTATTTATTAAGAGCACTAATACTCTCTTTATAGGTTATTTTTTATTCTTTGAAGGATAATTGAGGAAAATATATTTCGTTATGATGTCAGTAAATAAACCCTTGTATAAAATTTTATACTGTCTGGTTTATAATGTTATACCTAGTATTGCATTTTCGTACAGCAAATTTTCATTCTCTATTCTACTCCCTAAGTGTATAAATTTCATAAATTCGCTTTATCTTTGTGCCAATTTTTATGTGTATAATCCAGAGGTATTTTCATATAAATGTTTACTAACTTTACCCATTTGGTTGATGAATTTCAAAAATTTCTTCTAATTCTTTTTGTAGGATTTCATTCTTCTAGACCAAATAGTAAGGAATTTTCATACAACAAACTGTTCCGACATAATTTTACTCTCTAAGAGGATGAATTTCCTAAAATCGCTTTGTGTAGCTCATTCACTAATGTCGTTTAAACGAACATTTGTGCTAATCACACCACTGACAATGACACACCACTGACAATGACAAATAATTTATTTCTGGAGGTATTGTGTGTAGGTGTTTTTCAGGTAGTATTTAGTCGTTTTACACAAAGAAATAGCCATTAAGCACTATAAAAATACTTCATAACAAATCTACACATATATACCTTTCATTTATAAAAGAATCATCAAGATTGGTGAGGCGGTTTCGGCGGGATGGATGCAACAAAAAAACCCTTTGAGCTTTTATATATGTATGGATTAATTATTTTTCCAACATATTTTACTTTGCAAATTTTTATAAATATTCAGACTCGCCAATATCGTAGTCCACCGTGTCCAGCCTGTTTAGCCAAACGTAGGCCGATTCCTCTTCGGCGGCGCGCGGCGTCGTGACCCTGGCCAATGGAAGAGTCTTGAAGACGCTCATCCGCGCATAGGAACAAGTTGACTGCGTAGCGTATTGCGTATTAATCGATTCTGAAACTTTCTATCTCATGTATAACATGTTACGCAAGTTTATTATTTTAATCTCGATTTTAATAGATAAATATGTGAAATGCCACATGAATATCTTCCACCATGACATGTTTTTACTTTTTTGTTATGGTAAAGTGATTTGTATAAACTTTATTCAATAACTTATATTTTCCTCCATTTGTGATTTTTTAATTTTAAGCGAAAATTAAGTATAACATTTTAGGAAAAAGAAACATTGTAATATTTAAAAGAATAAGAAGAAATTAGTCTTATTTTGAAAGAAAAATATAGAAAAAACTCTTTCTATAGAAAAAAGTCTTTACACTAACCAGAATCCGGTGACATATACGCGGTCTCACCGGAAACATTACTTATTACTTCATATAACTTGAAGAATATCTACTTTTAATAATGAACACTTCAGAAATACACCAGTAAAAACATTTATTATTTGAGATTAAAACTCGAATGAAATTATAAATATTAGTTACCTATGTTGTTATAGCTTTTATAGGCCTGTTTAACGACTTAATAAGTTACCTAGCGAAAAAATCTGTACGCGTACCTATCACTATTGTTACAGGTTAATTTTTTAAAGAAATATGTTACACAAATTAAAAACGCTAAAATTTTAATGGTATTACTTGTGCATTATTGGCCTTATAATGCAATTAGTTGGAAATATATCTTCTTTAAATATAATTACACTTTTTAACGACTTTTAAGTTACCTAGGAAAAAATCTGTGCACGTACCTACCACTATTGTTACAGGTTAATTCGTTAAACAAATGTGTTACATATTATTCGTGGTATTAGTGGTATTATATTGGAATCAGCTTGGCATTAGTGGGGCATTATATGAGAAATTTTGGTATTTAATTTGTATTTTTGGCATTACTTTGGCATTAGTACATTTGTCAGCGGTTTACTCCTTGTAGATAATCAAAAAGTTTTTAGCTAAAATTTGCTTTTCATGTCAGATCATTTCTATGAAAAATTACATTAGATTTTTATTAAAGACGCTGGGTAATTAAAACATTGACTAATAAAGCTTGTCCACTTTAAATAAGGGGTCACGAAATATCCTCCTTGGAGAGTTTGGGTTAAGGGGTGTATAATAAATTAATCCAAACCAATCAAGACAAACCATTCAGGAAAAAATCCAAAACCTACCGTTATAGGAGGTATAAGATGATTAAACTTATATAATGAACTACTTATCGGATAACAAATTAATTACTACTGTCAGCTACTGTCTAGGTAGAATATACCTAGAGTACCTACACCTACCTATGATGTAGGTAGATTAAAGCTTATTTTGACTTTACGTCTCACTTCGGTGTCACAAGCTGAATTTTTAGGGATGGAAGTACAGTACATGATATGGGGACCCTTATTCCGGAAGTAGTACAAAAATTAGACCGGGTAAAAGAGCACTATCATCAAAAAAAATCGATATATTAATACCACCGTATAGAGAAAACAAATACTTATTTTTTGATCCAGTACACAATAAAGTCTTCGTAGGGAGTAATTTTCTATAATTATTTACAAAAAAAACATTTCCATTAGCGCTTATGACCAAAAAAAACTTTAAACATGAATAACTCATTTCAATCATGCGAAAATTTGGTTTAAAAATAGACTTTTTTTAATATAACTTTCATTTAACGAAAAACGAAGACCTAAATGAAAAAAAGAAACAATATAAAAGTTTCGCTTATGTCTTGACAAGGTATCAAAGCAAACCCCATATTTTTTGCTTTTAAACTAATAAAGATATATCAATAAACAATTAGCGATGTAATGGTTTTTGCGCGCGCTGGCCGACTGCCGCCGCTGCGCCGAGATTTCCTATACCCTTGTATATATGTCGTCATGGTGTGGCAAATGTAGCATTTTAATTCGATTTGGGCTCCCTTATAGGATAACAGAAACATTTTCAATGTTAATAACAGATATAAAATAACGACACGTAGAGATCGGCCGCTCGTAAAACGAAGTCGGCGCTCTGCACCGTCACGAAATTCTATGGCTGCTCGAAGCAATTCCAAA